ATTTCTTGGTTTTTGATTAAACTTCCTTTTTAACATTAATAACATCTTATATTATTATATACAATTTTTATCATTAAATATCCATAATATATGCTAATTTGATGACGGCTCGGTCAAAATCCAAGATGGCGGATCATATAATTAGCTGTTGTGTAACCATGTTTTTTCACTAATTTTTCGTCTCAATTCCGTGTTTTTTTCACATAAAACGCCCATATGAGCATCTTAAGTCCATCTGCGTTGCATTTTGAGGCAATATCTTGAAAAAAATGCAATTTTCAAAATTCACATTTTTCGATCCAAGATGGCCGACAGCTTAATTTTGACGTCAGTATTAGCAGACATTAATATTCCATCATAGACCCTTTTTTGTTAAAGTTTGGTTGTATTTTAGTTTAGTTTTACGGAAAAAGAATTTTTGACGGTTTTACCCAAAAAAAAAACATATATTATGACGTCACAATAACTACACAAAAATTGTTAGTATGAATTAATTTCACTACTACACCATTCTCTGAAAGTTTAGTGGTCCTACGATAAGTGGTTGTTGAGTTACAGGGGGCGGGCCTCAAACCAACCCCCTACCCCCGTCTGAGCATGCCCCAAAAGCCCGGTCTGAATAGGGTTAAGATTTGGATTAGGGTCTTTCCCTCCATGCCAAAAGATTTACTAATAGGAATATCGTAATACTGTTATTTTAAACATAGTAACGCAGCGGACACTTCAACGTAATATCTTGCAATTATCTTTATTTCTGTCAAATACGTAGGCTAATCGAGCTGAAGTGCTAAAATGGATAAAGGGAGAGCCCGACGCGTACGACTGGAACTCTTCTTTCCAGTATGTCGCCGGCCTTGAAGGAGACAGGTTTGTGCCACCTGTATATGGATGAATATCTTGCACAGTTTCACCTTCAGACATTATTTGTACATTTGGGGCATATTTGGTGTGTTCTCTGAGCCTGGCAGCCAGACCACCGTGGTCTCCTTGGTATGTCTACGGTGCTGGGAGTACTGCCCGCCCGCCCACGGTCCATCAGCGCACGGTGGGGTATGTGGGGATCACCACACCACCAATAGCTCTCCGTGTCTCATGTTTATTGTATTGCGACAGTCAAATCAAATGAAGTAAAAACAAAATTGAAAACTAGAAAAGTAACATTTGCAAAGCAAATACATAATGATCTGGTCCAACGTTGTTATTCAAACACATTCATATATATGTGGACCAGCTCCTCAAAGTCTGCCTTGCCACTTGCTACATAATGTATCGCATACCGGTAATCCATGGTGACAGCCATCTGGTGCAGGGCACTTGTTAAGAGCAGAGGAAGAGGAAGAAATGGAGCAATAACAATGCTTTCCTTCTGCCAAGGTAAACATACAGATGAACGAACTAACATTGATTCCTATATCTACGTTTGAACAGCTCTTCGTGGGAAGCCCGCAAATTGCACTTGAGAGACGCAATCAAAGCGGTTATTCCTTGTGACGTCACCAAGCCCGATCCCCTGACCCCACATGAGTATGAACAGGTGATTTTTACCATCTTTTCTATGTATTTATCATCATAAATAATAATGTGATTTCTTGAATACATTAGCAGAAGGGTAAACCGGTCCCCAACTTGAAACAATTACTGACGGGAGGTGATATCGACTTTCAACGAACTTTGACCCATATTTGACGTCATATATATGAGCAAAATTACGTTGTGACTGCAAGATCAACAACGCTGAGATGGAACGAATGATTAGGTGAAAATATTTAATATTTCTTTAGATTTGACTTGAAAAACAGCTCGAAGTTTATTACGATGGAGTATTTACGTTGACTCAATACTTTTTTGTTTGATTTGTAAATCCGTGACCCCGCCCTCACCCTCGACCTTGTTGAAAAGCGGCCATATGTTTGGCCGAACAAGTTTATCGAGTTTAAATAAAGGTTTACTACTACTACTACTACTACTAACTACTACTGCTACTACTACTACTACAACTACAACTACTACTACTACTACTACTACTACTACTACTACAGTACTACTACTACCACATAACGGTGTGTATTTGCGTTATTCTTGAGTCAACGTAAGTACACATCCACCCTCCTATCACAGTTCGACGCCATTACGTCAATGAAGTGCTTGGAAGCAGCGTGCCCTACTAGGGAGTCCTATTCGGAAGCTGTACGCAGCATCACCCGCCTACTGAAGCCCGGTGGCACGCTGGTCATGATCAGTGTTATCTCCGAGTCCTTCCACACTATCGGCGGTCAAAAGTTCTTCACCCTCACTCTAGATGAAAACTTCATAGAAGAAGTGCTCAAAGACGCGGGATTTAATGCCATCGATATCAAGACGTTCCCTGCACCACGTCTCAATCAGGATAGCAGTATTTGGGATAGCAATGTCAGTGATTTTGGTGGGATGGCAGTTGTGCATGCTAGCAAAGTATAGTTACTGTAGCTCACGCTCAACGTGTTTGAGAAAAAAATGGATTTTTACGGCAAGAAAGAGCTTTGTTAACCCCAAGGGCATGTTTAAATCTACTTATAGCGTCGCCTTTCCCTTTTTTCAGTCAACTTCAGTGTAACCTAATACTAGTAGTTCCATCGTACAAACGATGAAGCTTGGTTTAATCAATTGCAACTATTTCTCTTTAATTTTTTTTCTGGCAATTCTCCACGTAGCACTTGAAGGGTTGTTGGAGAACACATTTTTTCAAGGCCACGATATGTCACATCAAAGAAATTACATTGAAGTTGATTTGATTGAACATTGTCATAGCCATTAACATTACCACAGTAACAATATACATACATGTATGATAAGTACACTATAGAGTATAGTAAAATATAATCTGTTAGTAGCAAGTGTTTACATTAACAAATTTTATAGCAGGGAAGACAGAGTTTTGTAGCTAGTTCCGCAGTAAATTAGTCAATTGTCATACTCATTAAATGTACCATTACCACAGTAACACAATACATAGATGTATAAGTACATTTTTATAATATACAGTAAAATAGATTTTAGAAGAACTCAAAAGAACTCTAACAGTCAGTGTTCACATGAATGGCGGGGAAGACCGGAGCTTGTAGTCAGTTCCACAGCCTGCTAGTCCTTGGCGCATTATGAAGATAAGTGAAGCCGGGTGTTAGATCTTGGCAAGTTAAAGAGGTGTGGGTGACCGCTTGGAAATGAACGACTACGCATTCCAGATGCTTTGGTCTGCAGAATTCCTTTCAAATGTTCTTACCATATATTCTATTGTATGGATCTGGAAACAATATCACATCCATTGGAATCTAGCTATATAGTAGACTAGCTTTTCCAGTTGATGTTGTGGTAGCAGAACACAGTTTTCGCCCTATGGGGATTTCTATGGTTAAGGACTGCAAGGTGACCCACTTCGACGCGGAAAAATTATAGTAAGGTGCACTTCAGAAGAACGAAAAACGAATATGTTTGAGATGAAGGTATAACCTATAAAATTTAAAAAACACAAAAAAAAATCTGTCGGCGTATTGTCTTGTGACGCCCTCTTTGAAATCGTCCTCTACCAAGGTCAATTAGACTGCAGCCAAATCACCCGGAAGGCCAGTTGCGTAATCTGGCGTATTTACATACGAACGGGAAAAAATACACAATCCAAATCATACAGTCTTACAGCCGACATGGTTCTATACCAAACACCACAATTGACACCGGGCTGCCACTAGCACAAAACCTGCTACCCAATCTTCAAGAAGTTTGTACGCACTCTTTTCTATACCCGCGTCATAGACCCGGGGGCCGCCCATTAATACTGTGTTCTGCTACCTTGCAGGTAAAACGTCACCTTACATAGACAACAAACTGCTATTGATTGCTTACGTTAGAATTAGACCTACTGAGGTGGTAGTTTGTCTTATTTGTATCAGGTGAGGTGAAGGAAAATCAATAAAATCTTGTGCAAATATTTATTCACATCGTCTTTCATGATGGCATGCGTTGTATAATTGTATTCTAATCAGTAAGAGAGAGAGTGATTAATATATATATAAATATATATAACAGTGCTTGCAAAATGCAAAATGGAGTGATTAAATGTACATTTAGCTATAAACAGTACTGTTAATAGATATAGAAATACTACGTATCTAGAATGTCGATAGAGGTGTTTACATAGATAAAATGAAGCCACCGAATACCGTGTATGCATAAATATACAGATACAGTCTTCCAGATCAAGGTATGTTTCTAAAACTACATGAAGAAGTAAATATTGGTGTAACCGTTTGATCCTGTATCTAATGCTACTTTCTAATAAAATGAAACATTCTTGATACAAATGAATTCTTCGGCACAAAGCGTTTCTATGGAAGCAAAAACAAATATTGACGCAGATACGACGTTACTGGAATGACTGGTACGAATACAAACAGTTTCTAATATTAATCTGACTGTACTGATTGGAGATGTGCGGTGTGCTTTGTATAGCCCTACAAACAGTCATCATAAAAAAATGCATCTTTTCCTCAGTCGCTGGTGTGTCCAAGTTTCAGTTCTATGCTCATATTAGAACGAATATTTCATCGGGCCTGACACAGACAAATTTAAATGCAGCCCTGCCAGTACAAAGAAACTAAGAATTGAAACAACAAAATAAATCATTTCTACTAAATCTATCATTTTATACAAACCAATCCCATCTTTTCTTTTATCTGTAATGAAGATTTGAACCATTGTCTTTCTCGAAGTGAGAGACTAGTTTAAAACCGGACAATAACATTAGTCCTGCCGTTCTCACTTTTATATACATTCATTATAGACAAGACAGTTTTGTGACTTGGATAATTCATCTACGTATATATACATTTGGACATCTCTGTCATAGGATTTTCAGATATTATTATCAGAATACCACCCTACTCCTCCCATGCAGTTTTTGTTTCTGTCAACGTTACATGAAAGTGATTAGACTTCGTTGGGCCCTGCTGTGGCTATTTTGACACTTGTTACTTATCCATTTTGCCTTGCTGTTCATCAGCATTGTCTGTTTCAGGAACTGTCACATCAACATGACTTGAACTGTAGTTTAAGTCGGAAAAAGTTGTGACGGAAGCTGTAAAAATGTGTCCGTCTTCCTGTAGCGTTTTCAATTGTACAGCCGGAGGATTTTCTGTGCCAGGAGGTGTCACACAAGTGTGGTCAGAGTTCTCGCCGTCATTTTCCGTACCAGGAAGCGTCACATAAGTGTGGTCAGAGTTCTCGCCGGCATTCTCCGTACTAGGATGCGTCACGTAAGTGTGGTCAGTGTTCTCGCCGGCATTTTTCGTATTAGGAAGCGTCACATACGTGTGGTCAGAGTTCTCGCCGTCATTTTCCGTACTAGGATGCGTCACATAAGTGTGGTCAGAGTTCTCGCCGGCATTTTCCGTACCAGGAAGCGTCACATAAGTGTGGTCAGAGTTCTCGCCGGCATTTTTCGTATTAGGAAGCGTCACATACGTGTGGTCAGAGTTCTCGCCGTCATTTTCCGTACTAGGATGCGTCACATAAGTGTGGTCAGAGTTCTCGCCGGCATTTTCCGTACTAGGATGCGTCACATAAGTGTGGTCAGAGTTCTCGCCGGCATTTTCCGTACCAGGAAGGGTCACATAAGTGTGGTCAGAGTTCTCGCCGGCATTTTCCGTACCAGGAAGCGTCACGTAAGTGTGGTCAGAGTTCTCGCCGGCATTTTCCGTACCAGGAAGCGTCACATACGTGTGGTCAGAGTTCTCACCGGCATTTTCCGTACCAGGAAGCGTCACATACTCATTCTCTGATACTTCAGCTTCACTTGCAGAAGTGGAGACAGGATTTTTATCCTCTTCGTGTCCTACATGTCTTCCCACCATGCTGTTCTCTGGTAACGACATATAGTCGTGATCTGATGAGTCACTGTCATCATCGCTTTTATTGTCCGAACCTTTGGCGGTCTTGTCGTTGTCGTAGTGCCCAGACGTTTGTTCTTTGTCACCAGATGTCCTGTTGGCTGAGGCTGTCGTAGAGATTCTGTCGCTTGAGTTTTGTCCCCCGTCTTTACTTTCGTTGTCGTAGTGTCCAACTGCGTGTACCTCCGCATGAACAACAACAATATTTGAAGCCGGCGCGGCAGGTTTGTTGCTTGACGCTGCTCTTCTTTTGACCAAGCTCCTCTTGTTGTGACGGCGCCTGTTCCTTTTGGCTCTCGCAGCGGAGGACGTTTTCGCTGGGGACCCGCTGACCTGGTGACCTGGGACGGTCTTGTGGGAGTTCTTTCTCGAGTCATCTTCAGAGAATTGATCGTCGTTCTCGTAGTTTGCTTCTCTGGTCCCTCCGGTGTCTGACAACTGATCTTCGTTTTCGTAGTGTCCGCCTGTAGCTCCTTCAGTGTCTGTAAACTCGCCATCGTTCTCATAATGGCCTTCTGAGTCTCCGTTCGTGTCAGAAAACTCGTCTTCATTTTCGTAGTGACCACCTCTAGCCCCTCCTGTGTCAGAAAACTGATCGTCGTTCTCATAATGTCCTCCCGAGTCTCCGTTTGTGTCAGAAAACTGGTCGTCATTTTCGTAGTGACCGCCCCCGTCATCGGTTCCGTTGTGTCCGTCTGGAGCGGCCCTTCCTCCGTCGGCTCTGTCCGCCTGACGGACTCCTTTACCGTGACACCAGCTCACACAAGCAGCTAGCACCACGACAATAACGGTACATCCGCAGAAAGAGCCCAGACCCACCAACACGAGCTGAGTAGTGGACAGCTCAAGGTCCGGGCGATTTGCTGTATCCTTTTCAACATCTGAAATGAGATTCATTTGTTAACTCAAGGTTATATTTGTACATTTCCGTTGTTATACTTTGTTCTTCTATGGACTCCATGAAGAAAAGTGAAGTATCACTTATCGAGATCTAAATATAGACACAAAGAAATGAACACAAACAAACAAACCTGTATCGGGTGGTGTGATGCCACTGACTGTTGTCTTAAGCTCCTGGCTGTTCGCTCTGGAGGTACTTTTCTCCGTCGTGCCACTACTGACGGTCAGTACGGCGGATGCGCTCGCGTTGTCCGTATGGTCAGCTGTCACCAGACAGGTGTAGGTACCCTCTACGTCATCACCAGCCCCAGGGACGTTCAACACGGAGTAACACATCCTCCTGGTTTCCAGGCGTGTGACAGCCGAGTCTTTACAAGACGAGTTGCTGACGTGCGTGTAGTTCTGAGAGTACTCGTAGCTCGGCGGTCTGTAGTCTCCACTCGGTGTGATCCACGCGAACGTCAGACCTTCCTGGCAGTCTGTCCGGCAGGTGAAAGAAGCGTCACCTGTGGTAGCACGGGTGTCTAACGTAACGGACACGTCAGGTGAGGCACACCTGAGATCCTCCAAATCCACGTGCCGGACATTCACTACAGTGGCACCGACCACGCACCCGATGTTCCATCTCAAATGGGAATTTTCAAGGAGCCATCTCTTGATATCTCTCAGCTTGCAGTCGCACTGCAGCTCAGTCCCCTCGGTTATAAGAAAATATAGACTCGTAATGTGGCGTAGTTCATCAACATCTGGGATCGATGTGATAGGATTACCTCTAAGCAGGATCGATAACTTTACAGTTGACTGAGTCCCTTGGGGAATGCTAGAAAGGCAGTTCCCATCTAGATCGAGTCTTCGTAGTCTGACGAGCCTGACAAAAGCATATCTGTCGATGTGATGGATTTTATTGTCGTCCAAGTTTAAAATAGCAAGCTGGACCAGACCCTTGAAAGTCTCTGCCTGCAATCGCCTTATCTTGTTAGAACGAAGATCGAGTGTTGTAATGGAAGGTAAGCTTTCAAAGGCCCCTGGTTGTAGTACCACAACGTTACTGTTCCTGATATACAGCCTCTTCAAAACATCATGACGGAGAAAATCCCCTGCCTTGATGTTTGTGATATCCTGTCCCTCTATCCACACGAGTGTCAGATTGGGCGGCAATGGCGCGGGGACACGGCGGAAAGAACAGGCCGTCCAACAAGTCAGGGACGCTGGGTAGGTACCGAGATCGCGTTCGCAGCAATCTAGGCTTGGGGCGGCGCAACCTCCAGTCCATGTCACAAACAGCACGGCTAGAGTAAACCAACTTCCATTTGTTGCGGTAGTCATATTAGAGTAGTTTTAAACTCTAAGTCAAAGTAAGTCTAATCATCACTCATCACCCACAGTTACGTAGTGAAGAAATGCTTGAAGAATCAATGAGGAATAGATGGGCTTCCCTTTTTCCCTTTCTATATGCCGATAACGTCCTTGTTCCTACAATAGTGGTCTTCGACTCTTCGCTACATCAGGTGTGGCGTCGAGTGGCCGAGAGGCTAGGCTGGTGGGCACGAGAAGTCGGACGTTGTGTGCATGGAAAAGGCACTTCACACGGCTTTCTTCACTCCACTCAGGTGTAAGAGGGGTACCTGACTTCGGCTGGGAGGTAGACGGCGGTAGACGGTTCATCGTCGAATATCCTAGATACAGTAGATCGCGATCAACAACCAGTGTCCCTACGACCTCAAAAGAAAAGCTATAGGACTACCTTTATCCTTTTTAGGAACTGGTGTCCGAAACTTTGGGTCGTCGTATTAAGATCCCTCCACGTGTGTCTTCCAGCATGTTCCTGTCGCCCACTCTTGAAGGTAGAAATCTTATAAATGAGTGAGACCGTTCAGACGTGGTTTGTGTTCATTCATATTAACGTGAGTTGAGTGCATTGCATGACCTAAATACCATTTTGTTTTTCTTAGCAGAGAATTATATTCATAACCACAGGAAATAGCTCTGGGCAGTTAAGATGAAAACAATCAGCGCAATAACATTTGTTCTCAGGAATCGGACAAATCAAAGCGGTTTAATATCCTTCCAAAACCTTTTTTTCTAAAGAAAATATGTAGGAAAGATTTCAATTACTTTCTCAATTCCTCGCCAAGCTTTTATATTAAAGACAAAATCACGAGAAGTGTACATGTATATTTCGTTGTAGATTTATACACCATATCATACATTCATTAATGACGAAGAGAAATCAAAAATATTAAACAAGCAAACGCTGTTATCGTCTTCGTTAAGAAGATCTATGTTTTTGTTTTTGCCGTGGTGTGGGTCCGTATGTAAGTCGACGTTATAACACGATTATTTGTCGGCAGATTTTTTATTTTTATTTTTGGCGTGTGGGTAGCTATTGTGAAAATGTACTTCGAGTTCAAAAAAATCTTTAGGACTATACTACCTGTACCTTTTTTCAGGAACGGGCGTGCGAAAGTTTGAGTCGTCGACATATAACGTCCCTTCACGTGTGTCTTCTAGAATTTTCCAGTCACCCACTCTTGAAGGTAGAAATCTTATAAATGAGTGAAACCGTTCAGACGTACGTGGTTTGCGTTCATTCATATTAAAGTGAGTTGAGTGCATTGCACCTTACGACCTAAATACCATTCTGTTTTTCTGAAGATAAAAGTGTATTCATAACTACAGGAAACAGCTCTTGGCAATCCAATTTAAGAAAGCAATCAGCGCAATAATTATTTTGTCTGGAATCGGACAAATGAAAGCATTTTAATATCCTTCCAAACCTTTGTTCTAAAGAAAATATGCAGGGCAGATGCTGATTGCTTTTACAAGTCTTCGTTAACAGTGCTTGCAAAATACTACGCATCTAAAATGTCAATAGAGGTGCTTGTAAGTAAAATAAACATAGGGATCAAGTATACAGTACTGTTAATACAGATAGAAATACTATGCATCTATAATATCGATAGAGGTGTTTACACTAATAAAATTAAGCTACCGTATATTGTGTATGCATAAATATACAGATTACATACAGTCTTCCAGATAAAAGCATGTTTTTAAACTGCGTGAAGAAGTAAATATTGATGTAACCGATGTATCCTGTATCCTGTGCTGCTTTCTAATAAAATGTAACATTCTTGATACAAATGAGTTTTCCCGGCAGACAGCGGTATCATTAATGTCAATCATTGTTTCTAGCATCTTACCATTTTCCACGATTTGGGCATGCCAGAAACATGAAAATTGCTAAAGTTTAGGACGCGATTACAAACAAATGCTTGAATATATCGGAAAAACAAAAACTATGCTAAAATGTACAACTAATCTGCTTTCTAAAATAGCCTTAAAATTTTCAAGAGGTCCGTTTTAAGGGTCTGGGCATCCCTAAGACAATACGGTGTTTTGGCCTATTGAAATATCCCTATTTCTTGAAGCGCTGTAACTCCAAAGATGGTGATGTTTTTCTTTCAAAATGTAATAAAAGATACATAATCATATGTGCTATAAAATGCATGTTTGTAAAGTTTGGCCAATTGTTTGGTTCTCACGTGGTTGTCCTCGGAAGTAGGTCATATTTTACATTTCAAGAAAAATACAAATTTTTGTCATATTTAAGATACAATATATACAATACGAAAACAGCAATCTAATACTACTTTAAATAATAAGTAATCCTATTATTTGTCTATCAAATGAATGCTTGTGGATGTTGGAGTCTTGTTTCGTTGCTGTGTACTTGTCCCTGAAAGAAGGCCATATCTTGGACATGTGTTAAAATTATCATTTTGGGCTATCTTTGAAGCTTTACAACTGACAAAGTAGGATGTTATTTGAATCCCATCTTTGTAGGGTAGTACATACTTGTATTGTGTATCAAATGATATCTTGTTGAGGTTGGAGTTTTGTCTCGTTGTTGTATACTTGTCCCTGAAAGTAGGCCATACTTTGGAGTGTGCGGAATATTATCATATATTATGTTTGGCTAGCTTTGGAGCTTTCTCGGTTTGGTTAAGGCAGCCTATGGCCAACTATGATTAGTATTTCATACATATGGCTGTAACTTTTGATAGCTTGGTCGCACCACAAATTAACTTCACACAGTTCTAGTAGTACTTGAAACGCATTGAATAAAGGTTATTTTGTTTTTACTACTTCTGAATTTTTGGGTTGAAAATCAACATTTTGGTTTAAAAAAAAGCTGTTTACTTCATGGCTTTACGCGCAAGCGGTAACAACACCTTTCATCATGATATTTTACAAGTAGAAAGCCAACCCCCTATTTATTATTTTTGTCCGAGGCTATTTTGTTTTAAATGACAGTTACATTGTTTTTTTGGGCCAAAAACGACAGAAACAGCTATTTTTCTGTCATTTTTCGTTAAAAAATCGCCAGAGTTAAAAAATTTCGACTTATATGCAAAATAGCCTCGGACAATTTTGATAAAAAAGTGATAATACGTAAACATGGATTACTCTTAAGATGAATTATGTTGTTTTCAGCTGCGCGTAAAGCCGTTTAAGTCATACTCCGTGAATAAAATGCGTAACGACGCGAGTTTACAGGGGAAACATACAAATGACCGCCGGTAACCCCGAATTCGAACACGCGTTCTATTCGAATGACGTCATATCGAACATGGTTGAAAATGATTCGGGTTCGAAACATGTTTGTGGCAATCGTGCAGACACACGCCAGAACTCGAACATGAATATCAGCCTAGGCCGCCTTAACCCAACCGAGTTATAAGTGACAAAGTAGGATGTTATTCGAATTCAATCTTTGTAGAGTAGTACATTCGTCTATTGTGTATCGAATTAATTCTTGTTGAGATTGAAGTCTTGTTTCGTTGCTGTTTAATTGTCCCAGAAAGTAGGCCATATTTTGGACTTGTGCTAAAATTAACATTTTTGTCTATCTTTGAATTTCTATAACTGACAAAGTAGGATGTTATTTGGATCCAATCTTCGTAGGATAGTACATACATGTATTATGTATCAAATGGATTCTTGTTGAGGTTGGAGTCTTGTTTCGTTGCTGTGTAATTGTCCCTGAAAGTAGGCCTTATATTTGACATTACAGAAATTGCATAATAAATATTAAATAATAAATATTAATTGCATAAATAAATTTTGAATTTTTCTATTTTTTGGTGAAGAAAAGAAGACAAGAAGAAATACCCGATTTTTAACCCATTTCAGACTGAAGAGGCTTTTGAGGCCCAACTTTGATCTCAGATAGCGGCTAAACGGCTTGCGCTAGAAGTATCAAATTTGGAGACCTTTCCTAAAATGTCTCTGGAAAAAAGTTCATATTAGTTGTATACTAGTAAGTTGATGTTTCTTTGTGTTGCCATGGCAACGGGTTTCTAGCAGGCAGTTTTTTTTAAAATAGAAGTAATTTTGGTTTAAACATAAACATTTTCTGATTTTTATATTAAATTACACTTCTTTTCCAACATTAATAACATCTTACATAATTAGATATAAGTTGAATCATTTAATATGCATAGAATATGCTAATTTGATGAGGTCATTGGTCAAAATACAATATGGCGGACTATATTATTAGCTCTGACGTCATATGACGTCATAATTACACCAAAGTTATTAAAATTTAATTCTATTACTACACCATCCTCTGAAAACTTGGTAGACATACGATGAGTGCATAAAAACAAATAAAAACGGAAAAAAAGGTAATGTATAAGAACGCCAGTGTATCCATTATGATCGAAAGCCGGCTGGGGTCCGCGCGGACCCCAAAAGAAAATCAGATATAATTTTTTTTATGAATGGTAGAAACGGAGTTTTCTGCACTGTATTGAGGGACAACTTTGTGGGTGACAATTACCTAAAATTTCAGAAAAAATCTTTAGAAACAAAAAAGATATTACAGAATATATAGTGCTGGGGTCCGCGCGGACCCCAGGTGTTCTGTTTAGGGTTAAATAAGTCCTGGCCACGGGCAATACCAAAGGTGACTTTAGAAATCCCGAAACTACTGATATGCTTTTCACAGCGTCAGGTCAGCTAAAAAGGCAAGCACTCGAGCAGCGGGGCGGTCATTTTTCAAATACTATCAAACCGTGGACATGGCAAGTCTGGCGGTGAAGCTCCAAAAGCTGGAGACACAACTCAGGACCACGGGCAGAAGTGGCTCGGTTACAGAATGGCGCTGTATATATTCTTATCAGTACTAGTGTGCATGGCATTGTTTTTATGAACAGATAGATAGACTTTTCCGTAACAGAAACATGCCGTGGGTATTTCGCTGCCCCAGCTACGATGAAAGTTAATTTTAACTGTAATACCAAAGGTGACGTCAGAAATATCTCTCTGACAGCTAGTCTTGTGACAAACCGAAACTACGGATATGCTTTGCACAGCGCAACCTATGTGCATGGCAATGTTTTTATGAACAGATGGAGTTATGAACTTTATTGCTCTATCATCGTACAAGGTACAATGCGTGGCAGTATTATATACAACAATACTACAAAACTAAACTATCTCATTACATTACATACTACAAACTACTATCTAAACAGTATTTTAGTTACAATATGGTCATGTATTGATGATATGGTCTCGATCCACACTCTTTCAGTAACGGAAACATGCCGTGGGCATTTCTCTGCCCCTGGCTATGATGAAAGTTAATTTCAACTGTTATACCAAAGCTGACGCCAGAAATCTATCTCTAAAAGCTACTAGGCCCTGTGACTGAAACTGAAACTACGGATATGTTTTGCATGGCGCAACCTATGTGCATGACATTGTTTTCATGAACAAATAGATCATCCACAATTTTCAGTAACAGAAACATGCCGTGGGCATTTTGCTGCCCCAGCTACGATGAAAGTTACTGTTATACCAAAGGTGACGTGAGAAATCTATCTCTGACAGCTAGTCTTGTGACTGAAACCGAAACTTAGGATATGATGCAAAGGACGTCAGGCGCCAGGCCAGTTCAGCTCTTGAGCAACAGAAGTCATTTTCCAAGTACGACCAAACCGTTAACATGGGAAGTCTCTCGGAGAAACACCGACATCTGGAGATACAACTCAGGACCACAGGGAACCCAGAGGCAGGATACAGAAGGGCGCTAAGAGACGCGATAGCCAATGGGGACTCCTACATGGAGGTAGAGGCTCTGAAATGTCTTGGCGACTTACACTTAGAAAAAGGAAAGTCCTCCAAGGCTTCTGAAGAACTTAGGAAGTGTAAAACATTTTACACCGCCGCCCTTCTTCGCTGCAAGGATCGGGATCTCAAAGAAACACTGCAACATCGGTCTAGATACTTGGAGAAGGTTGCAGGGAAACTAGAAGAGAAACATTGTATAACAGCGAGCAGTAGAGAGGAAGCACAAAATGGCGACTGTTCCTCTTCTAGCAGTGTGCTACGTGCTGCCGAGACATTTCTTGCTTTGGACAGACTCCTTGCTGGCTTTGACGTAAAGAATTTAGAGGACGAGTACACCAAGATATTGGTAACAGCTATCGCGACTTGTGACAGAGTTTTGGAAGAAGAGAGTCTGAAATCTCTCGGGGATTTGTACCTTGAGGAAGGAAAGAAACGTTTGGACATACTTCTGCTGTCGAAAGCGGAAGGACTGTACAACAACGCAAGAGGGCGCTGTGAGGAACCGGAAGCGAAAGAGGTACTGAGTCATCGCTACAAGTACGCAGAGAAGGTCACGGAAGAAGTGAAACTGGTAAGTCATGCTTTGAATACTTGCTGATTGTCCAAAACGTTTTCCATAATTACAAAACAATTGAATTAGAAAAATAAAAAAAGTGGAATTCGGCTTTTACTTCAATTTTTCCATTTTTTACAAGTTTTGTATACACATTTACGTACGGAGATTTTATTTTCGGATTTTTGTGTGTAGCTATTTGAATACAGTAGGGTCACAGGAAGCTTTTGGGGAAACAGTATAGACTCAGACTGGCAGGAGGGTCGATTTGAGGTCAAAATGGTCTCCCCATGTGCACAGACAAAAGCATGCACCGGAAACAAAACCTCCATACACAGAAGATCAGTAGACAGTTCTTATATACATCTTTCAATGTAAAAGAGAATTTTCTCTTGATTCTGACGAGCTTATTTATAAATTGAAGTTTGCCTTTATCCTTATATTTCATATATACAGATGTTATGCAAAAGAGGGATTAGAGGGTCAAAGTTCAAGAATACAAAAGACCGGGGAAGGGAAGTTATCCCTATCCCGGACGCTGGATCAGACGCTGAAGACTCAGAGCTTTTACGGTAAGTTCATTGCTCTCCGTTAATCGTAAACAACACTGTCCATAGCAACTATTCTGTAGATTTGATAGTGGAAATGATTTTTAAAATATTTGCAATGATTTCGCAATTTTGATTTAAGGGATTCCACGTTTGTTTGAAGCGTAAATAACTTTACGCTATAGCTATATGTAAGGGGCCCTCATTGCGTAATAGTACTAATAATACAGCTATACAATCGTATGCATTGTAAATCCATTGTATGATGTAATTGTCTTCGTCAGAAAGACTATGGAATTGTCTCGCCGGATTGTGGGTGACTGCGGATTTAGCAGAATAACTCTTAAAGGCATTATTTCATGTCCATGATTTTTTGCAAGCAGATTAACGTTGTTGAGGTCAAAGTCAAGTGCAAGTTTGGGCTTCGTGGGGGGTCCCAACGTTACTGCAGAGGACTTTTTGTGTCTGTGGCTTGTGAGCAAAATAACTGGAGTATAGTTAAGGTCAAGGTCTAAAACGGGCCTTAGGGGGGGGGTCCCTATGTCGATGCAATGGACCTTTTGTCTTAGATACATCATGATTTTCCTCCACCAACCTCTGCCCTGATTCACATGGGGGACAGCTGTCCCCGCATCTGGGATCAATTGCTTACAATTGAGGGGCTGTACTGTGGGGGTGGGTGGGGGGTGGACATGCGTCAGGCAGGTCACTCCCTAAATTGTAAGGCCAGACCAAGTAATTTTTATGGGTGATGTCCACTGGAGACCTTAAATCTATTGCAAAAGCGCGAAAAAATACATGACCAAAAAAAAAACAACAACAACAGATGCATAGGTTTGGAACATACTAAATGTGGAAATAAAAAGGTTAGGACGCAACTTGAATACAAGAACAAAGTGTAACAACAACGTTTAACGAGAACAGCAATAATCCCCCCCTGTTCTGATTCTTTCCTTTCATCACATCTTCTCATTACATTTTGCGACACTGTCATAGAATAAACAAAGGGAAAAGGGAGTACAGAGATTATTTTGTACTCTAGACCAAATTGATTTCTAGTATAATCGTTCCTTTAACTAGAACAATGTCCATCTGACGAATGCATGAGATCTCCGACCTCTAGTTCAATCGGGTATTTATCGCTGTTCATACAGTGCAGTTCCCGTACGTTCAGGGAGAAACAGTCCCGGGTGTCTAAAATCATATTCATAGATGTTCTTATTTATAATGCACAGCTTATACGAAGACCGCACCAAGAAAGGCCAGAGTAGAATGGAGTCTGGAGATCTGGAAGAAGCGGAGCAGGATTTTGCGGAAGCCCTAAAACTAGTACATGGTAAGTGGAAAAGATAAGTCATTTTACAGAGGTCTGAGTGCGCATGTGCAGCCGTGATGATGTATTGTAGTCCAGGTCAAAGTTCAAAATCCAAGTTAGGCTTGTTTGAGGGCAACTATTCTCTCTTCTATGAGAGTTTTAGCAAAAATTAAATGTAATCGAGTATAGCTACATTGAGTAAGGCAGCAAAATGTTGCCGAAACGTTTAAATATTACTCCCGAAGAGTCATCAATGGGCACTGATAAATGCATGCCGCATATAAAGTTGATTTAGAATCGGACCCCTAAGATGACTTATTTTAGAGGAAAGTGAGATTGTACATGTACATGCAATGTGAAAGGAAACAGGGCAGAATATAAACTGAAAGGCAACGCAGATTTTGGTGAATTGGTCCTAGGTATTCATCTCTTGTTTTTCATTTTAATCCAAAAGAGACCAAGAAGACATTCAAAGACTTCAATGTCGTCAAAACCTGGTGTCAGTTATATTTAATTATTCTTAAAAGTGATATTTATCACGCTACTGTAAAATTTAATCTCTTTCTTCACAGGAAAACCAACCTACTTGGAGCTTGAAGCTGACTGTCTTCACAGACTGGGAAACGTCTACAAAGATCGAGGGAAGATGACAAAAGACGGAGGAGACTTCACAAAGGCGGCAGCTCTGTACCAGGCATCTCTGGTCAGAACAGGGAACGAAGACTTCAAGAAAAACTCCACCAGTTCATCAACACAACGGAGCAGTCCTTCTTACGGCAAACAGTCGGGGTATCATGTGATTGGAGAACTTGCGAAGTCGGCATGAGGCACAGAAACGAACTAAAAACGATGCGATTGGATGTAAAAACGTGAACTGGACGATATTGATCGCTTACATGATCCGTACAAGTACATGTACAAGGAAGATGATCCAGAGGTTCGAATGCTGGAGGCTGGTCGATCCAAAGCAATCAGAAATCTGTTCCACAGAATAGCAGCAGACAGGGCTACGTTTTTGAAGAATTTCATTGACGAATGCGTCAGCATCATCGGACAGCCTCCGTGCAAGTATGCTTTCATTGGGTTAGGTTCACAGGCCACGGAACTGGTCACACCGTATTCCGATCTAGAATTCTCAATTCTGATTGAGGAAAGAAGGATTCCGACGATACCAAGACGTACTTTCGCAACCTTACACACTACTTACACCTGAAGATCATCAGCCTAGGTGAGACTATTCTTCCCGCGATGGGCATCAAGTCCTTGAATGATTTTTACTCCCCAAAACCAGAGGCAAGCTGGTTCTATGACTCGATCACACCCCGCGGTATGTCGTTTGACGGTGCAATGCCTTGGGCCTGCAAAACGCCATTGGGAAGGCAACGGACGATGAGCAAAGAGCCGCTGGAGTTGATTCAAACACCAAGGAATATGGCACGATTCCAGCAGGAAGACGTAGCCGTTGCAGAGGGATACCACCTGTCTGACGTATTACGTAACGCCTGTCTGATAGCAGGGGACAAGGCGTTAGTTGACACGTATCTGAGTCTAGTGGATAGAACATTAGCACAGACCGGTGAGCATTCTACTTCCAGTGGCGACCTGATAGCTGAAGACATGGGGAAATTTAAGATAGGACTGTCATCAAGTATCATGAACGTGAAGCAAGGAATTTACCGATTTCCCGGTATTGCCATCCAGAATATCGCACTGGTGCTTGGAATAAGCGCAATGTCAGTGTGGGGTATCATTGAAGCAATGGGAAGACAACACCATGTAAGTAGAGACACGGCCCACAATCTGTGTGTGCTGGTAAGCATCTCAGCAGAACTGAGGCTGAGGACATATTTGTGTAATGGAGGACAACGGGAAAACATATCGGCGCTCATCGCTGTTGACACAGAAACTGGAGGTAACAGTTCTGTTGATACGGCGATTTCGTCTGTGTTTCACATTCCCAATCAACACATGCTGTTCAGGTACTACTACACCGCGTTCCCTCTTCGAGAAATGACTGCAAAGTCGTCCGAACATTGGCGAGACATTTTGCTCACTTCGGCCATGCTGAATTCAACACCTTACATTAGAGGACTAGTACATGCAAACTTCTGCAACTACACAATGGCAGAGAATGAGTTTGAGAAGTCATTGAATTACACTAGGGTCCACCAGCCCCAAAAGTTTCTGACAGTACTTAGCAAGCTAGCAAATGTTCGCTGTGATTCAGCCAATCATGAAGAGGCTATCCGCAGCAATGAGGTGGTCCTAAGTACCTGGAAGAAAACCAAGTCTTTGAATATAGGCTGTCCGGAATGGTTTGAGTTTACAGGTGTGTTGGCTATCCACAATCTTGGCAGGTCACATACTGAACTTGGTAATTACAAAGAAGCAATTAAATTTCATGAACAGGAGATACTTGAATACCGTCGCATCTTTGGACAACACGCAGACCATCAAGCTATTGCATGCGCACTCGGTCTCGCAGGGGGGACCTGGCTTCGTCTTGGTGATTACAGAAAAGCAATCATCTACCAAGAGGAGGCATTGGAGATGACAAAACGCGTACTTTCACCTGGAGAACAAGTAGTTAGTGTAATGATAGCGTCTTTACTCAACAACTTAGGATACACATGGAGGAAACTAGGCAATCACCGACAGGCGATAGTACTCCTTGAACAGGCCTTGCACATGAAAAAGACCATCTATGGATACGATACAGCACATCCAGAAATTGCCTCATCGCTCGAAAATCTAGGCTCAGTCTGGGGCGAACTTGGAGATCTCAAGAAGGCCCTCTCCTGTTACGAAACCGCCCTCAAGCTGTACAGGCTTGCTTATGGGATTGAAACTGACCATCCACACATTTCTACATTACTCACCTCTATTGGGGAATCATGGAGATGTCTAGGGGATTACAGAAAAGCAATAACGTTACATCATCAAGCTTTGAGCATGCACAAACGGATATATGGGTCGGTCAAAGCGCATCCTGACATCGCAAGGTCGCTAAATTGTCTCGGCAATGCCTTGAAACAATCGGGTGATTATGAAAAATCTATATACATCTTTCAGGAGGCGTTGGAGATGAGTAAAACAATTTATGGTCAGGATGCATCACATGAGATTATCGTTTCTTCACTCAACAACCTGGGCTGTGTATTAAGTCAACACGGCGACACTTTAAAAGCTAAGCAGTTATTGGAAGAGGCGGTGAACATATGTCAAGATATGTACGGGTCTGATGCAAAACATCTACAAATGGCTTCAAGTTTGAATAACTTGGGCGTGGCCTGTAATTCGTTGGGCGATCATGCCAAAGACACTGAGGTTGTATCAGGAAGCGATGACTATATATAACAGCATACGTGGTCCCAGCACAACACATCTTACCATGGCACATGTATTATCAACCTCCGGATCCACTAAACCAAGACGTAGTGGAGGACACGGCGAAGTTCACGAAATTCAGATCCTGGGTACAATTCACCAGTACATTGCTACAACAGCATTGAATCAGGGCAACGCATTGCTTAAACTTGGAGATCACCAGAAAGCTATAAGATGCATTGAAGAATCTCTACGGATGAGCAGACTTGTTTATGGTGATAACGCAGCACATCCGCAAATAGCAAATTGCTTGTTCTCCCTTGGTGAAGTTTTTACTAAGCTTGGGGACTACGAAAAGGCTATCAGCTTCCATGAGCAAGGCTTACACATGTACGAACAAATACATCGACATGACACAATGCATCCCGACATCGCGATTTCGTTACTAAAGCTTGGAGGGCTGTGGGTAAGAGTCGGAAATCACAGGAACGTAATAAAGTTCTTAGAACGATCTGTAACGGTGGAAAGGTTCATGCGTGGGGAAGTTGTGGACCATCAGAATATAACAGTACATGTTTGTCTTGGAACCGCCTACTTGAATCTTGGTGATTACAAAAAAGCCATATCATGGTATAACCAGGCTTTGGAAACGATGCAACAAATGCATGGACGGGATTCAGCACATCCTGACATTGCGGAAGTACTGACCAAATTAGGCTACACTTGGAGGAGCCTGGGTGACTTTGAAAAAGCAACAACTTTCCAAGACCGGGCTCTAAAAATGAGCAGAACAATATATGGAAATGAACACCCAGATATCTTGACCTCAATCATCTTCTTGGCAGGTTCTTGGAGAAACCTTGGCGACCACAGAAAGGCATTAGAATTGTACGAAGAGGCATGTCAGGTGAGCAAAAATCTTCATGGCCACGATGCAGCACATTCTGACATTGCCGACTCACTCAACAACCTAGGCGTGATTCACGGGGACTTGGGAGATCATAACAAAGCACGGCGGTATCACCAGCAAGCTTTACACATGAGAAGACGTCTATACGGACACAGAGCAGTACATAAAGACATCGCTACTTCCCTAACGAACCTGGGCACAGAATTCAGCAATACAGGAGATCAAAGCAAAGCAATCACGTGTTACGAAGAAGCACTCCAGATGTGGAGAGATCTTCAAGATGACAACAGCGTTCTCACAAACATTGCTAACATATTACAAAATCTTTGTGTTTCCTGGAGGGAACTTGGCGATTTCCAGAAAAGTGTCATGTGTTATGAACAGTTAGAGAAAGTAAAGATTGCCTTGAAACGTGGCAAGAAAACTAATGGCTGAATGCCAAGAAATGCACATATAAATTTTGCATATATAAAGTTTTTTTTCTGATGTGGCAAACCACGTGCGATGTTTGTTTTCCTACCTTCAGGTCACTTGTTAAAATGCATGTTACTATTCACAGACAATATTTCCTATCAACATGTGTTCTTGTCAGTGCATCTTTGCCATTGATTTTATCCTCATACAAACAAAACTATTGTCTGTAAAATCTCCGACAGAAACGTGTATCTTTTACAATTAATTAAATTTACATTCAATTTTATATTCCATTGCTCCTTTTATTGATTTAAACCGGGCACACTCCAACCGCTGGAGAAAATGACTGATATTTAAATCCCCGACAGTAAATTCTCCGACAGAAACGTGTATCTTTAACATGTAAAATCTCCATTGTTTAACCCTCAACAGTACACCTTCCCGGACTGATTAATATGTACACCTGGGGTCCGCGCGGACCCCAGAACAGTTTTTTGCTAATTTTTAGAAATTATCAACATGCTACCAGCTCAATTGTTTTGCAAAGTGATGTGGGAACCTCTGTGTCCACATTACATACAAAAATCATACATTTTGAACTTTTTCTATTTTTTGGTGAAGAAAAGAAGACAAGAAGAAATACCCGATTTTTAAACCCATTTCAGACTGAAGGGGCTTTGGAGGCCCAACTTTGATCTCAGATAGCGGCTAAACGGCTTGCGCTAGAAATATCAAATTTGAAGACCTTTCTTAAAATGTCTCTGGAAAAAAAGTTCATATTAGTTTAATACTAGTAAGTTGATGTTTTTTTGTGTTGCCATGGCAACGGGCTATTTTTTTGAAAATAGAAGTAATTTTGGTTTAAACATAAAAATTTTCTGAGTTTTATATTAAATTACACTTCTTTTCCAACTTTAATAACATCTTACATAATTAAATATAAGTTAAATCATTTTATATGCATAGAATATGCTAATTTGATGACGTCATTGGTCAAAATCCAATATGGCGGACTATATTATTAGCTCTGACGTCATATGACGTCATAATTACACCAAAGTTATTAAAATTTAATTCTATTACTACACCATTCTCTGAAAACTTGGTAGACATACGATGAGTGCATAAAACATATAAAACGGAAATAAGGCAATGTATAAGAACGCCAGTGTATCCATTATGATCGAAAGCCGGCTGGGGTCCGCGCGGACCCCAAAAGAAAATCAAATATAATTTTTTTTATAAATGGTAGAAACGGAGTTTTCTGCGCTGTATTGAGAGACAACTTTGTGGGTAACAATTACCTAAAAATTTCAGAAAAAAATCTTTAGAAACAAAAAAGATATTACAGAATATATAGTGCTGGGGTCCGCGCGGACCCCAGGTGTACTGTTTAGGGTTAAACCCCATTGTTTGATTGCTCTTTTCATTAAACCGGGAACGCCACAGCTGCCGGAAAATGACTAATATTGCCATGTCAACTGTCGGTAAATTCGAATTTGCCGACAGAATCAAGTACCTATTGTTATATTTAAGTGCCGCATTGGTCAAACCGCGCGTACCTCGCTGTGTACATTGCTTTATTCCATAATCAAGTGTAAACCTACCAAACCGGTTTCAGTTCCCTTAGTAGATACATAAAAGACCACTCGGTGAGTACTGCTGATATTTTTCTAGTGCATGTACCTTAAGCTTGTTTGGACGATCGCCTTGCTGTTTCTCATCGCCATTGTAAAGTCCGAATTCAGAACGGGTGTCGCGTTGAAAACCGATGTTTGGGGGCAAATCCTAACTGTTATAAGGCCACACCATTTTATGGATGACATCCTCCGAAGACCCCAAAACTAGGGCTCGCGGGTAATGTACAGTGTGTAACACCCCACAACATGGATAAGAATCAAGGAAGAAAATACACAGAGGTAGGCAGTGCGGCAAAAACTTCCGCCAGTTGGGTCAGGTAGAATAATAGTCATGCTATAAACCGTTACCAGTCAGTGTTGTTATGAGAAAATGGAACGTAATACTGCATAGAATTGCACATAGTAAGACACTATCCGTAAGATCGCATTCTTATAGCGTTATGCTTTTTCATAGGTATAGAAAATGTAGTATGATGTTCGTGTAAGTGTATACAAACCCACTCTGCAGTGTTGTACTGTTGTTTATAGAAGTTCAAAATATATATCAACATGCTTCAGTTGAAACTCAGCTTGATCATTTTAACCATACATTACATTTGTGTATATAAATGTATACTAATCTAGTAAGAACCATTGGAAGCTACTAAACTAACCTAATGCGTTGTTATTACTAGTAGTCAAATATTAACACCTTGTTTTCTACTAAAGGCTGTGTATATTTGTAATGATTTCTGTTGTTTTCAATTAAAACATTAAAAATGTAATTTTACTTCGTTTTTACCATAAAGAAAGGAATCCATGTAAGAGATTGATTGATTCTCAAAAGTTACGTTTTCGTCTTCATTCTTCCTGTCATACTTAAATTTAATTTATGCTGTCTAATCTCTAACTAAGTACAGTGTATTACGCATTGTACTTTATATTGTTCCGTATTCCTAATAAGCTAAATGGTATAGAATATAACCTTATCAACAACCTGTTTTGACTAATTTTGTATACTAGAATACGAATTCAGTAAGAAACCTTGGAAGCTATTAAACAAACCTATTGCGTCGTATATAGTTCAAGACTAGTAACATCTCGTTTTTACTAAATGCTCTGTACATTTTTAATACTTGTTTTTCAATAAACACATTCAAAACCGTTTTCTGCCGTTTTTTTAAATTCGTTTTATTTTCAGAAAGAACTGAACCCTAGAAGATTTAAGCAATACAACGTTATACTCAGACGTTTTCATTCAATTCTGTTCAAACGAAACAAAACTGTTCCAACGTCATCAATCACCATACGTAGATGGTTAGAATAAGCTGTAGATAATAGAGCTAGATTGTGTGGTATAGACTGTTCTGGTAAGTTAGGCTAGCGCTGTATAATAGTACATGTAGTAATTGTATTCAACACATTGTCTAATTTAAGTACAAATAATGATTTGGTACGATTCAGTTGAACTAAAAAAAGTGTTGTTAACTTTATCATTTCCGTCCTCTGTGTATCGTCAGTGAATAACGCATAATTGGTTACTTATTACGATGGTCCAGAAATCTCATAAACACAGTTGAAGGTAGAGGAGTAATTAAATATCCACGTTGGGATCTCCACTATCACCATTAGTACATTAAACATCTTAATCTAAGCAACTACATAATGTAAACTAATTTCTCGTTGTTCCAGGGTAATCAACTTCTTTTAATATTTATGCAAATTGCGCCCTGTTTAGGACAATGATTTTTTTTTGCGTAAGCTACGAACAAAGAAAGTAATAAAATCTCCACATTAAAATAAGCCACATTTAGCCTGAGCAAAGGGGTATGAAAAGTAAAACAGAAAGGGTAACAAAAGTTTGGTTTCTTAAATTTTAAGAAACCAAAAAATGAGTGGTGTGCATAATGTACTTGGCGATTGCGATTGGTTAAAGCCCCTGTCACACATTCAGAACCTTCGGAGAGCTATAGAAGGCTATATTTGATAGGGGTGTAAGATTGGAGCACGAGATGGCACCCGTTAATCGCCGACAAATTAAAAACTAATTTCGCTGTCAGAAACCTGTCACTACCAGAGGTACTTCTTTGATTGCCTTGCCTCGGTAGTTGACAGCGGTACAGATGTACACTCCTGTGTCCTCTTCCCTTGATTCTGTCACCACCAGAGTACCGCTGTCCAGTACCTCCATTCGAGGGAACCCTGAATCCACAGCCAGGATGGCTCCTGTTGGGGTGGTCCAGAAAAACTCGGCCTCAGGACAGCCTGAAATCTTACACTTCAACGTGGCGGTCTGGCCCTCATGCACGGATGTGTCGCTCCCCCTTGTGTCGATAGAGGGCGCTTCCTCGCGTTGGCAGTCACATGTGAGGTCGGCGAGCGGAACGTCCTGTAGGTCCTTGCCTCGTAGACTTGGAGGGCTGGCGCAGGTCAGAAAGACACGTGGAATACCGCTTTCCCTAAGCCACGTCGCGAGACCTTTCAGTTGGCAGTCGCATTTGAACGTATTGTCAAACAGGACAAGGTCTGTCAACTTTGGGAGTTTGTCAACAGCACTGGCTGGGAGGAAGCGCAAAGGGTTGTCCGTAAGCTGCACTCTGGTGAGGTTAGGGAAAGATGTAGCGGAGAAAGTCCCCTCGTCAACCACACGGATATGTCCCGATGGGATGTTGAAGCCGGTGGCGTTCTTCATCGGTGTCGGAAAGGACTCAGGCCCGAGATAGACGAACGGGTTTCCATACAGAGAGTCTGGATAAACCTGAAACACAGGTAGATTAGCCAGGGCCGGAGCCACGTGAGCCATGTTGGTGAAGTTGTTCAGAGTTAAGTCGAAGGAAACCAGTTTGTCCAATCCGAGGAAGGTGTCAGGGTCCATGTAGCTGAGTTGATTGGAGGACAGACCTAACGAAACTAGCTGAGTCAGACTGTGAAACAGGGATGATGCGATGAAAGTCAGGTTGTTATAAGATAGCCGGAGGTCAGTGATGGTCGGTGTGCATTCAAAAGGTGCGATGTCGATGAGCCCGTTATAAGACAGGTCCAAAGTGTCCAGGAAGTCCAACCCACACAGCACTGTCGGTTCGAAAGTCCCTACCGATTTCAGGTAGCTGATGTTGGATAGGAACAGTTTGGAGAGTCTGAGTTGGAAATAAAATAAATCATAAATATGCGAGATAAGAGGAATGTCGTTGATTAAGCGTTATGAGTTCACATTTGTAAATCGTGTTCAACGGTTAAAATCGTTGATGGGTCAGACTACTGCATGAATGTCATGATATCTTACGTCGATGAAGGTTAGACATCCAGGTAATAAGATACGCCATAAAACAGTTCCTCAAGCAACTGGATATGATTTTGGCAACGTGAGACGTTTCAGCTGGTATCCAATAGGTTTCGTCAGTGACTGAGAGACCAGAGGAGAAATGCAGGAGAAAAGCGCAATCAATAGTTTCTGATTATAAACCTGCATTTCTCCCCTGGTCTCTCAGTCACTGACGAAAGCTAGTGGATACCAGCTGAAACGTCTGACGTTTCCAAAATCATATCCAGTTGCTTGAGGAACTGTTTTTTGGCGTCACGATATCTTACCTGGGAAAAGCAGAGAATTGTTCAGGACCTAGCGGTTCTTGGATAGGGTTGTCACTAAGGTCCAATGTCTGAAGATGGTCTGCACCACCCAGGTTACTGGGGAACTGGTGCAGTTTGTTAGAACCTATGTACAGCTCGGTTACGGAGTGGAGACCTGTCAGTGAAATCTGCGAAATCTGATTTGAATTCAAAGACAGGGACCGAAGGTTGCCGAGATCTTGGAATGAACCGCCTTCTACCGCAATGATGGCATTGTCTTCAAGGTTCAACGTGCTCAAAGCAGGTAGGGCAACGAAGGTTGTATTGAGGATAACAGAAATTTTGTTAGCATACAGATAGATGGTATGGAGTTTAGGAAGGCTGTAAAAGATGTTATCAATTTTCGTGATTTTGTTGTTACTCAAATTCACAATGCTTAGGTGCTGTAAGGCATAAAATGCACCAACGTCAATGCCTTCAATGTCGTTTTTGCTCAGATCTAATTCCTCAATGTTTGGTATGTCTATGAATACATGATTGTCAAGAGTGACAATGTAGTTATTTTGAAAAGACAATTTGGTCAGCTTCCCAGAACCCTGAAAGATGGGCCCGGAAAGAGACGTGAGTTTATTAGAGCTGAGATCCACGGATCTTAGTAGTGGTAGCCTGGCGAATGCTTCCTCTTCAAGATCGACAATGTTGTTGTTAAACAGCTGAATCTCTTCCAATGCCGGATGATCTGTGAACAGGCCACGTGGGATCGTCTCCAGTTTGCTGGCTCTGGCATCGAATTGGGCAAGGTTTTTCAGGTCGGTGAAGAGTCCAGCAGGCAGCTTGGTGAAAGTGTTGTTGTCAAGTCTAAGAGACGTCAGTGCCAGTAAGTTGTCGAATGTTCCCTCTTCCACCATTGTAAGGTTTTCATTCCACCCGACTCTCAAAGAAGTGAGTTTTGGCATGTCAACAAAATCACCTCGTCGAAGCATGGTTATTTGGGTGTTGCCTGATGAAATTATATGGAACAATAATGATATTGTAATATCTGGCAACAGTACGGCAAACATTGTATATTTTTAGACTAAGTGTTTTCCGTTGCTTCTATAAATACTGCATGAATGATTTATTCGAATGTCTTGTGTTTTTTCATAAACTCTGTTGAAACGGTATCAAATACGAATGGAATATAACCGCTAGTAAAAATGGTAAACTGCTTTTGGGTTGTTAATTTTAATCATTTGCTTATTGCCGAGCTTAAGGGCTGGAATTTACCTGAAAGATGTGTAAATTTTATGCTATTTCGGTTTGCTGAGGATCCTCGAAAACAGACGTGTTTTCATTACAAAAATGTCTAAATTTCACATTCAAAACCACCAATGTACAAAATGTACTTACCTTAAAATGAATACACGTTTTAATACGTTAACATTAGGTGAATGCATGTTTAATTAAAAAGTCTATCAGACCAGTAGGAATTCTTTTAGATTTTTTCTTCCTATTTTGTCATAATGCTTTAGTTCCTGTAAAATTCATATCGATATACGTACCGATATCCAAGTCGGTCACATTTTTGGGAATGTCCCTTGGAATGGCTGAGATAGTTGGTCCATTGCAAGACACAGAGTAATTGTTGTCAAAGTAGTCACGACAAAAGCAGGACTTTGGACAGGCCTCAGACGGGTTCAGGTGATAAAACAAACACACCAACACTGTGTAATAACACAGCCGCACAGCCTCCATTGTCGTTCTAAAAATAAACACACACGTAGAGACTTCGTAAACTCCGGATCTAATATTGTATTTAACAAAGTTAAAAACTTTGTGTTGGATACACATGGTAAATTTTCTTATCTAGAGAATTCGACCTGTCACTTAGCCTCCATAGCTATTAAAAAACAGGGGGTTTTGGGGGGGTCTTCAGGATCTTTTATGTGCTATTTTCTGATTGCATATAGACAACATAGCCGGCCTATTGATTTACCCCAGTTTAACTGGGCTAATGAGAAAACAGCCGAAGACCACCAAACCCCCAGTTCTATAAGCCTGCTACGGAGGCTACCTGTCACTCTGGTCTTCTTCAGGAGATTGCCCCAATGAGAGTAGTTACGTGATTTCATTGAAGCGCGCAAAATCCCCCAAACACAAAATTTGCAGTAAAATGACAACCTTATCACTGAGTTTTAGCCAATGCCTTTTTATCTACCCACTGTGTAATGTATGGGTCAGCTTAGGTCATATTTGAATAAGCCAGTCTTGAGACTGGCGCATGATCGAGGGTAACTTACGGTCATACACTCCACAAACAGACAGGTAACACATACATGTAATACTCATTTTCACCTGGGCGAAATTAGGAAAGTCGCGTTAAATGCCTTTCCCAAGGGCACAGGATCAGTAGCATGTCAGGACTCGAACCGGGACCTCTTGGGTCCAAGTCGAGCACCCACTACGTGTTGTGTATTTGTATTTTAAGAACTAAAGTATAGCAATTATCCTGTCTTGACTTGTCTGACTTTTTCGACTTCCAAAATTGTCTTCATGTCATTTATATATCAATCAATAGTTTGTGCTTATAAACCGGCATTTCTCCTCTGGTCTTTCAGTCACTGGCGAAAGCTAGTGGATACTAGCTGAAACGTCTGACGTTTCCAAAATCATATCCAGTTGTTTGAGTAACTGTTTTCTTTGGCGTATAGCAATTGTATGCATATCAGCGAGATGTGACTGGTACTTGAAATAGTCATGATACCGTTTTCTTTTCTTTGACTCTACTGATCCTATGATAAGGGTATTTGCCACCCTAATTAAATTATTTACCAGTGAGATAGGGTGTATTGTTCCCATTCTTAATTACAAAAGCATGTACGTCTTCAGGATTACAAAGTCTTATCATGATGGCTACAAAGTTAATATATACTCGTACGGGCATTTCTTCATGGCATGGAGGTAAAATTAGTTCTGCGGCTCACATTTGGGATATCCTATTGCTGGTTCCCTTACAATAATTCACTATAAGAACTATTTCCTTGCCTCGGTAGTTTACAGTGGGACTGGTGTACATCTTATAGTGTCGAATTCTATAAAATGCAACAACATCCAACCAAAAATTCGTGGTAAAATTGCAGACTTACCGCTTAATTCGAGCCAACAGCTTTGTATTAACACACTGCCTGTAACGTATGGGTGAACTTTGATCATGTTTGAATATATGCCAGTCTTGGGACTGGCACATGACAGGAGGTAACTAACGGTCATTATCATATAGCCGGGTGACGTTAACCAATCAGAAGGCTCCATTCCACATGTCTTATGACGCCGTAATTGGCGATTTTTACCCTTCCCAAGATGCACCGTCAGGGGTATCGCAAAATGGATCGCATGCGATTTTACGACAACTCTTCTCAGCGCGCGAAAGTAAACCGTAGTGAACTCCGCACGCTTCAAATCGGTATTATCCATGAACTCTTGAACTTCATGAATTCATCTGCACCCCATTCAGAGCTAGAACATCAGGCTTCACCTACTAGTATTCCTATTTCCCACGGCTTGTCACAGTCTGGAATAATCTGGGTCCTGATCTTCGTAATCTAGTAGTCCAAGCCAACCGACTGTCCAACATTTCAGTATTCAAGCGTCAACTTGTTAAAAAAAATGAAAGTGACATTTGCCAGATTCAATGAGCACTTCATTTCTGACGCTCCGTGCTCTTGGTCCACCGCATGCGGGTGCGCCTCCTGTACAGCTTAAAGACGCCATTAGTATTAGTATGGTTTTTAATATCGTTCCAATGCAAATATTGTATTATGGATTGTTTGCTATTGTATTATTTGTACTGTATTATTGTAATGTATGGGAGGACAACTTGTAAAGGTGTATATACACCTGTTTTGTCCTCCCTTCCACTCGTCTGGAGAATTCAAATAAATAAATAAAGAAAGAAACTCTAGTCGCCCAGAAAACATCGCAACCCTGATCATTAGATTAAAGGAAAGGAAAATAATACTAGTACTTTTATTACTGAAAAAATAGGATGCAAATTTACAACCATGTACGGTACTAATACCATAGACAATTCACCTGTTAATACATGAAATCAGTAATTTGACATACAATAGTCCAATATAATGATGGCACAATACGTTTAAAACATTCGGATGTTAACAAGAGCTTTGGTCATGGTAGGGTGATTGTTGGCTGGAGGTTGGGAGCAGGTGCACGGGGGGGGGGGGTGATCAGCGTGGCACAGCAATCGATTCGATATTTGACGGACCTGTACTTTAAAGTATCAAAGAGACTAGATTTCTTTCAGTTACCAAAGGTGTACATGTCTAGATTGTTAATCAGACTTTCTGAATTTTTTTACTTTTCTGATGTCGTGCTCAAAGAGACTTTGGGTTTCTTTAAAGTTGATTACATTTGTTACTTACTGCCTCCTAATACAAGATGAAATCATCTGCTTTGCATTTTTTTGTATTATGACTCATGTTATGAGATGCCGTAATGAGTCTGCTCTGACAGAAAAACAACCAGTCGGTCCGGGTGCAGGTCTTGTTTTTCTGGTCCGACGGCGTTGACAGGGTTTTCCCTGACAGCATCGATATTTGTAGTGTAAAATCACCGATAATTTCTGTGGATTCGTGTGGAAAAGTTTTACCTTAGTAAAACAAGGAACATTTCGGGAACCAGGGAGGAAAGATGCAGACGGCAGACAAGAAACGAGTAGGTGACGCTCGGCACAACACCGCGGAGATTCTAACTACTGACTTTATCGAGCCGTATGCAGCGGCGGCCCTCCCTCCGAACTCTGCTGTTAATAGAGACACTGAGAATTCCAAGGAATGCAGAGAAAACGCTACCATGTAGGCTGTACCGGAACACAACAGAGCAGAAGGAATCATTCCCACCTAAAGATACGAGTAAAGAAGAGCCTAAAGCAATATCACATCTGTATGAAGACAAGAAAGACGGCGAGAAATCGTCCCGACCTGTAGGACGTAAAAATGGCCAAGACAAAAAAGGAGGAAAATCCACTGAGACTTTGAAACCGCTGTATTCAGAGAGAAAGGAAACGGACAATAAGGCCTACCGGTCAAGGTTCTTTTTGAGGGGAAAACAGCCTGGTGACGCGGCCCAAAATTGGTATGCTGTTCCTAAACGAGCCAGAGGTATGTTGTTTATGTAAATTTTCATACAAATATTTATGTATTTTAAGTTGGGTTGAGAAACCATAAATTCTTGTACAACTTGAGGAAGAGGTATGGTGTTTATGTAAATTTACATATAAAATGTATGTATTTTGAGTTGAGGTAGATTAAGGTTGAGTTAAGGTACATCAATTCTAATACATTGTGTTAATCATATTCTTAATATAATTTCATAATAAATATCAAGATGAAACAATAACAAAAATTATAAAATATCTTTATGTTTTAAGATTTTTGACTGACACAACAAAAAGTACAGGCAATTTTGTATGGTTTTAAGACTAAGACTGTGCCCCCGCTATATTCAGAGAGAACGGAAACGGACAATAAGGCCTACCGGTCAGGGTCCCTTTTGAGGGGAAAACAACCTGGTGACGTGGCCCAAAATTGGTATGCTGTTCCTAAAAGAGCTAAAGGTATGTTCTTTATGTAAATTTACATAAACAATTTCTGTAATAATTTTTAGTTTAGAAAACCATCAATTCTAATACATTGTGTTGATCATAATCTTATTTCCATAATAAATATCAAGATGAAACAAAAATTACAAAATCTCTGTATGTTTAAAGGGGGGGGAGTGAGGTCGCCGAATTGTTTTAGATTCTGTTTCCGTTTGTCAAATACGGTGTTTGAATTCTCTGGCCATTTATAAACTAAGTAAAGACTGTAAAGTGATGTTGCTTGATGATTTTTCGAACGGTAGTCCCCACAAGTGGTCAAATATTTGTTTTCTCTCGTTTAGCCAAGGGTTTTTTGCAGTGCCAACAATATGAATGTATATTTTTCAAACATTGACGTGTGGACTAGCAGTACTGATCAAACCATACTTTGTTCGTCTTTTTGCGTTTCTTTTTTCTTTCTGGAGCATTGTTTTATTCGCCCCTTTGCCGTCCTGGTATGAGTATTTTTCTTGCACTTCTAACACCTCAGAGGGACGTTAAGAATGCAAGAAAATTAATTCCGACCATTTCCAAAAGAAATAGCTACTTTTTAATTGTCATGATTCAGCCATGGATGGTTAGAAATGGTTCCAACTTTGCTGCAAACGGGTAAAAACAGCAATTGTTTTTATGTCTCACGCAATGCATATTTTTCACAAAAAAGTGTAAATTGAGAAAACGAACGACACTTTAAGGACATACACATGTTGGATCCGGTAACATTCTTAGAAACTCTTCTGATACATTCAAAACGTCATTCCTGCTTTACAAGTAATTATGGGTTCACCACACCACGAAGTGGTGGTGAACCCATATTGCTTTTTCTGATGTTTCTTCTCCTTCTCCTTCTTCTCCTGCCATTTTTTAAATGGATTCAGCTTCTTCATTTTAGGGCCCAAGGTCCTGAAATTTGGTATGGAGGTACAGTGGGCAAATACCCCTAGGCGTTTTTTTTAAATTATTGTGATACAGGCTTTTAGAATGGTTTTATTTGAGTTTTTTGGCTGTGTTATAGCAAATGTATCACTGTGTTAGTGTGCCTTGTTTACCACGTTTGGGCATGAGTCATCACAATGGAATGCAGGGCATCAACCAATAGGCATGCAGCTTTCCTCTATTCTTCTTGCTGATTGGCTGTTGGGATTTAACTTGATTAACACCTGCATAGAGCATTTCCACCTGCACAGAGCATTTCTTGCTGATTGGCTGTTGGGATTTAACTTGATTAACACCTGCACAGAGCATTTCCATACTGACAGTATGTCTTTATTCAAGTGTTTTGGTAGGTATTTCAAGCTTTTCTGCTCCAGCATTGGAATGCGGGGCATGTAACGTTTTTTATTTATTTTGAAATTCAACAGTTTGCATTATGCAATTAAAAATCCTAACCAATAAAGTAGGGAATAGCTATCCAACTGTTGTTTTAGTTGTATTTTACTTCATATTATAGTTATATCAATGTAAATCATTGTTTTCCCTTGTGTTTCTCATTCTTTCCCTGCCATGTCGTAAAATGTGGTGAACCCATCGCTGTATTTGCTCCAAAGCAAATATTGGCCTTTCTAGTATGTATTTGTCTTTTCCAGTGACATAAGTTATGGGAACCTTAGTGCCATCCTGTGTGCATACCGAGGCTCGCTTTCTAAGAAAGAATTTGGATACGGTTGGGTAATTTTATTTTGGTGATGGCGTCACTTAATGAGCAAGCCCACATGGGGAGGGCTGGGTTTAGCCTCTTTTGATCAGATGTCCCTTCAACACAGAAGTCTATGTGGCCATGTGTTGTTTAGGTGTACATGTGCCTTTTAAGACGTTGTGAGACATTCTGTGTAGACAACTCTACATGTAACAGCCTGTCATCCCCTCACGTTAGAATCAAGCTGATCTGGTACGGCGTTTATATGCAAGAGGGAAACTAGAGGTCACAGGACAATTCCATGTGGAACCCCTGACGCTACTGTAACCGAGACCTCCCCTTCCACCAGTTCTGTCTGCTCAATTTGTTAAGTGAAGATTTAGATAATAGTGTTTTCCTTGGATTCCATGATACTCTGAGTACACCCCAATTCACGATTGCCATGTGGTAGCAATAGTCTATGATTCTCAGTTTACACAAACTAATGTAAGAAAAAGAAAACTATGTGTTGGATGAGTATTTTTAAAACTTCTTGGATTAATGTACTAAATTCCAAATTAAAGTAAACCCTTCTGTTTTTCTCACTATAGTAGGCATTCGTTGGTCTTAAAAGACCATGAAGTACTTCAACTACATTTACACCCTATACTTATTCTTATTTTTGCGTTTAAAACGTCTCAGTTCTGATGCGAGTCTCTGTTTTTCTTACCCCCCGATGTAAGCCCTTCTTACCTTCCTGTCTCCAGAGTGTTCTGTTTGTCCAAGTCTTTCATGTCCCGTTTGATAGCGTCTTTATAGCGCAGGTGAGGACGACCATGTGTTCTTGTCCCATTGGCAACATTCCCGTCTGGCATACGGCAAACATGTCTAAGCCAGCGGAGTCGGCGCTTTTTTAGCAGTTTGTACATACTTGGAATATTGGCACGTGT